TTGATGATTTGGTTCATACTTGTGTCCACATTTTCAATTCGATTCTGCTCAGAGTTTACATCCATCAACGCATTGCAGCAACAAAATGACATTGAACCTATTTGGCATTGACGATCATTCAATTCAATGAAACTGTCCAAAATCCCTTACATAAGTTACGAAATTTGATTAACCAAACTCTTTTTAATTTAAAAAGGCCACAATTTGTTCATTATTTGTTTAAACTTAAATTTCGGCCTTCACTCCCAATTCCCATTACTCTCTTTACTATCTTTTTGGAAGCCTTCCACTATTTAGCCATGGGTGTGTCGTGAACGAACTGTTGTTTTTCTCAGTGAAGTAAAACGCTTCACTTACCCAATTATCTGTAACTAAATAAGAGCATCTGATTGAAAACCAAATGAGAAAGTAAATATCTCCTCGCAACCGATTTTGGAAATAAAAATATAAAATAAAAATAAAATAGAGTAAAAGTTGACTAGAAAGTGAAAAAGATTCCATAAAGGTACATGGACCCTATAAAAGTTTCAAGTCTCTTCTTCATAAAACACACCCGAAAGGAAATAAATTGATTTCCATGACTAAATCTTTAATTGAATTACACCTTGGAACTGAATCCATTCAAATTGTGGGAGGTAATTCCTGCAAAGCGAACATTAGAGTTTGAAAAATTAGATAATTAACGCTATCAATTTCAAACAGATCTCACGTCTTGACTGATCAAATTGAGTGTCCATCCATTTCCTTACCCATTTGATTTTGACCCTGAAAATTTGACCTCTTTTGTGTTTACTTGCCTCACTATTGAATGCATTAATGCAGCGTTTATAAATGGATAGTTAACCAGTACGAACATGCCGATTTCTCGACTTCTCTTTCATTTCACTACTCAAAACAAGCGTAATTGTTTTGTCAAAATACTTAACTAAACTAACCTCTACAATATTTTAGGCAAGAGGTGAAGAATAAACTTTTGGTGACTAGATCAGATTTATTGTGAATACAAACAATTGATTTTTGTTGCAAAGGAAGCAATTTATTCGGATTGTTTTGCCAGAATGAGAGCCGCCACGATGGTTTCAATTTCAATTATGGCCAGAACCACAACACTGGCTCCAATACCAATGCTGATTGCCTTCAGTTCGTGGGCAATCTTTTCTACGCAGCCCTGACAACAAAGAAGACAGAAAATGCAACTATTGAGTAAAGAACCGATGCCAAATTGAGTGCAAATTGCAGAACTTACGGGAAGAGAAGTAGGTACACAGATTTCTCCAGGTTCGCAACAATATTTCACAGGATTTGTCCAATCACTTGGTCCATTGGCACCACAACAGTCAAGCTAATGAGAGTTAATCAAAATTAAACGAGTTGCCTACCGAATCTTGCAGTTCAATAATTGGGACTGTGAGGCTGGAGTTTGGATTGCTTTCAATCTCAGCAATTGCGTTTGTAAAGAATTCTCTGATGAATGGCTTGAATTTATCCTTATTGACAATTAGGATGACTCCACAGGCAATCTCAACGATTATAATAAGAACTAAAATAGTGTTGAACTAGATTAAGGATGAGATGGGAAATAATTACAGCAATCGGTCTTACCAGTCGTAGGAGACATTTGCTCTTCTTCCAAGCTCCCAAACATCCAAGAAAACCAGTGACAAATATCAGACAACCAATGACCAAGAATGCCACCACCAAGACCATTATGACACCTGTCATATTGAACAATTTTGCCTAAACCACGAGGTAGATACCAAATCCTGTCATAATGCCACCCGCCACAAAGACGAGGAGGTTGAACACGAGAAGAAGAATTCTCAAGAGTTTGCCTGTACAGGAAAGTGGCATTGTGTTCAATATTGTGCTTGAATGAAGTTAGCTAAGTGATCCTGTGTGCTCAGAATGTTACTTAAATAGTGGTAATGCACCAATTGCAGAATACTCACATAATTCATTACAACAAACTAAGGCAAAAAGCACAGCCCTAATACCAACTTAATATTTGGCTTAGTGCTCGTCGAATTCGTTCCATTGATTATCACGCCCACACACAAAAAGGTGGGTCCATTCACTCGAGGTTATACTGGCTTTAAAATTTTTCACTTTTGTTCGTATTTATATTTAAAAATCGAATTACAGTCCGCAGAGTAGGGCATATTATTTTTATGGACGTAACTTAGGAACGCCACTCGATTAAACCTAAACAGAAGGTGGATAGTTATAAAATAACTTTGACCTCAAGGAAAACCTTCGTTTGTTGGCATTCAGTATTGCCTATCACCCAGAACAAAATTGGACTGATTTCCCAGGTCATTTAAGTATAATAACATTTTCTTGAGCATATGCAAAGTTGAATTTATTTGATGAGTTAGAAAAGTAGAATGGAGAAGGAATAAATGTGTGGGAAATATGGGGAGGGGAGTAGGACACGAGAGTGTGGGCCACCAATCTTGTAACTGACACGGTGTTGAATTTTTCGGGCAAAAGTGGAGTTGTCGTAAAGACGCGGTTACAAACCTCTAATCGATATTCTTCTCTCGAACGATTGAAAGCATTCCAAGCAAATACATGAAAGCCAGTTTGATTGAGTCGTCAAACGGAAATAAAATATAATAAGCCTAAGAAAATTATGGGATTTTGAGGAATCTTTCCAGTTCAGCTCAAATGCAGTACATTAAAATAACTGAAGTTGATGTATCTTGCTGACAGTCAAATATCAGTTCCAGAAATGAAATGAAAGAGGCACAATAACGGACCTTCATCCTCCACACAGTGATTGAATTACATTATTTAATTGTACAATGGTAGGAAGAACGTTCTTCTTCCTTTAGAAATCCATCTTGATTACAAATAAAATATTTCTTTAAATTATGAGACATTGTTAATTCAAAAAATTATTTGGAATCCCATTCAAGTGAAAAATCAGAGCAAACTTTTCAATTCCGTTATAATTTAGGGATTTGAGATATTTGAACTGTGATATTCGGGGTAGCAATGTGGGAATTTATGAACAAAATCGCTTCAATGGACAGTGCAATTGGCATTGCTGACCTCCTTAGGTCCTCAAGAGTAACAAGTTGGTCCATATAGAAAATAATTCTAAGAAAAGAAGGTTGGTGTTTCTCGTGAGGCTCATTTGAGATTTTGATTGAAATATTGCTGAACAATTTAATTGCTTAAAAGCATTTTTAAAAACAAATCTAAACTATTAGAACACCTCTGGATTAGAAAATGACATTGATTGTGCAATTTGAAGATGACGTGGGCGTTAAAATCTTTTGGTTAGAATTGATAATTTGCGTAATTAAACCATTATCGCAAGATGCTGGATTGCACAACACATAATTTGAGATAATTTCAATTGTCTTTTTGTGCTTCAATGAAATAACCCAAAGCTTTGAGACCTATTTTTAAGCCGATAAAGGAATTATTGATAGATATTGCAGTCAAGAATTCTACATGCTTGTGAATAAATCTAATGCCTCAAATAGATAAGAGAGAGAAAGAGGAATGTAACTCATTGTATCAAGCATCACAATCCCATTTCATCTTTCAAGGTCCAACTTGGTTCAATGTGATTTCCATAACAAAAATCCTCGCAATAGATCGTTAAATATCTACATTGTAATCTGCCCAACTCAGTTTCCCCTCCCGACATATTGCTATTAGGATGCCCGTCTTATCTCTTCTAGCACTTGATCCTCCTTTCTTTCTTGCGAATTAGAGTGGAAAGCCGATAGCTTTCCTTCGTTAAATTAACCCGGTGTAAGTAAATTCTGGGAAGTGAGAATTATAGTTCGTGAAATTGGGAAATATAGGGGCTCAGACACTGTGATTATTTGCCAGTATTCTGTTCTTGAAGCAATGAGTAAACAGAAAACCTAAGCACTTGTGTCTTTATAATTAGCTGTCAGTGGAATTCATCCCGAATCTTTTATCATTATTAAATCATTAATAGAAATATCATATAATATTATCGTCTTTACGAAATACATTTAATTTACTGACTTATTATAAAACGGCTTTCTGAACGGGAATTGCGTCCATAAGTAAATGTATGATCATCAATGGGACCAATTAAGTGTTTTCTAACTGCATTTTGGTGTGGAGTGCAACGGCTTCGATTCTTGGCCAGTCGGCTATGTCGGAGAGTGCCACTGTCCACTGTTTCTCATTTTTTCGAGCTTTAAGTTCGTTGCACCCTGAGGTCTTGAATTCTCTTCTGATTAAGACCTTCATTGTTTGGAAAGACATCAGTCGGTCCATGGATTGGAAAATCGTTGTCCCCTTATTAGTATGTGTGCCAGCAAGCTCATTGCCTTTAAGGCCACAGTGAACATGAATCCATTGTAGGACCACTGTTCTGTTTTTCTTTCTCATCAGCTGATGGAGCTTTCTACATTACTTTATCTCAGCCGTTTTGGGTGGCTCTCTGTTTCCAATTGAATTAATTGTTGACTGTGTGTCCGAAAGTATCACCGCTTTGGTGAATTTCGTATCCAGGCCACGTATGGGGGTGGGGGAGTAAGACACGAGTGTGTGGGCACCAATCTTGTAACTGACACGGTGTTGAATTTTTCGGGCAAAAGTGGAGTTGTCATAAGGATGCGAGTACAAATCTCCACTCAATATTATTCTCTCGAATGACTGAAATTATTCCAAGCAAATACTTGAAAGTCATTACGATGGAATCGTTAAATTGAAATAAAATATAATTATACCAAGAAAATTATGAGATTTTTGAGGAATCTTTCCAGTTCAGCACAGATGCAGGACATTTAAATAACTGAAATGGATGTATCTTGCTAACGGTCAAATATCAGTTCCAGAACTCAGAAGAAAGAAGCACACAACGAACCCTCCTCCTTCTCACAGTAATTGAACTGTAATATTCTGTTGTACAGTGGTAGGAAGAATATTATTCACCATTTAGAAATCCATCTTAGTTAAAAATAAAATATCCCTCTAAGTTATATTTAGACATCAATTTTTGAGACTTTGTTAATTGAACAAATTATTAGGATTCACATTCAAGGGAAAAATATATCAAACCTTTTCAATCCTTCTATCATTTCGTGATTTGAGATATTTGAACTGTGATATTCGGGATAGCAATGTAGGACTATATGATAAACTTCATTGCTTACCACCTTATGTCCTAAAGAGCGTCAATTTGAACCATCTAATCAGTTTCAATTGACACGTTTAAAATCATGTAAATTACTGATGGTGTTCTTGTGAGGCACCAAGAATATTTCCCAGCACAAATTTTAACTATTATAACTCTTTTCGAAGGAAAATTTCCTTGATATTGAAATTTGACAATGACGTGGGTGTTAAAATGTTTCGATTATGGTTGATGTTTGACTGAGTAAGCTATTACAGTATGTTGAATGATTGCACATTGCTTAAATTTTGCAGAAATCCTGATTGTGTTTGTGCAGAATTATGCAAAGCATTTGGATTTCTATTTAAAATTTTAATGGCCATTATAAAGTCGGTCTGATTAACGAATTACTGAATGATATTGCATTCAAGAATTTTTCATGTTTACATATAAATCTAATAACTCAAAATGTTAAGAGAGAGTAAGAGCAATGTAACGTATTGCTTCAATTCAATAAGTAATTCTATGTTTCTAGAATCACAATCTCCTTTCATCTAAGAAGATCCAACTTGCTGTATTCGATTTCACAAACAACTAGCGTCGAAATAGATAGATAAATATTGCCTAGTAATCAACCCTGCTCAGTTCCACCTTCCCAACATTTTTCTGTCAGGAAGCCCGTCAAATTCCTTGGCACTTGATCATCCCTACTTCTGTAATTATAGAAATCTCGGTGTGGTGAATTAGGGTGAAGAGTCGATCAATTTCGCTTGTTAAATTAACCTTTTGCAAGTAAAATCTGGGGAGTGATAGTTAAATGTCACGAAATTCGGAACTATTTATTTATTTCAAATGGCAGGCTTTCTCATAGTTATCACTAGCCCTTTAGCTGACTTCGGACTTCACAGAGTGGAGGAGGAACATCAAAGTGAGAAAAAAAGTCAAGAGGGGGACAGAATAATGATTCATAGATGTAAAATAGACTAACAGACAGACACAAAGGCAGTGAAAAGTTAAGATACGTACTGTGGAAGAAGTTGAATATGACATGCAATGGGGTCATGGTAGTTTG